ATTTGGTTTTTCAGTTTTCAGTTTAGCATTGAGTCAAGCAGGTGGAGGTGGCTTTGATGATAGAGCAGAATGCACACAATTACGTGTGAGGACATCAAGGCCCAGAGAGGATCAGGGACTTTCTCAAAGCCACAGAACTAGCTAATGACAGAGCCATACTCAATGGAGTCCACTGTGAACCATAGGTGTTTAAACTAGTTCAGAGGTTGTCAAACTTGAGCATGCATAAGAATCACCTTGAGAATTGTTAAAAATAAAGCTTCCTCCCAAGGGGTTTCATAATCTGCAAAAAAAAAAAAAAAAAAAAGACAACTCTATATACTTGTCCTTGAGAAACGAACAGGCCTATGATCCTGCTTGGGGAACCCTCAGCAGGGTTGTGGCAAACCCCTTGGGTAAGGAAATGGCTCCTCACTCTTGCTGCCCAGGCCGGGGTGCAATGGCGCTACCTTGGCTCACCGCAACCTCTACCTCCCAGGTTCAAGTGATTCTCCTGCCTCAGTCACTCAAGTAGCTGGGATTATATGCATGCATCACCATGCCTGGCTAATTTTTTGTATTTTTAGTTGAGACGGGGTTTCTCCATGTTGGTCAGGCAGGCTGGTCTTGAACTCCCAAGCTCAGGTGATCCACCTGCTTTGGCTTCCCAAAGTGCTGGGATTATAGGCATGAGCCGCCCTGCCCAGCCAGGTTATTTTCTTATTGAATTGTAAGTATGGATAGATGCCAGGTGCAGTGACTAATGCCTGTAAATCCCAGCACTTTGGGAGGCCAAAGAGGGTGGATCGCGAGGTCAAGAGATCAAGACCATCCTGGCCAATATGGTAAAACCGTGTCCCTCCATGCCAAGTGTGGTGGTGCATGCCCATAATTCCAGCTGCTCTGGAGGCTGAGGCAGGAGAATCGTTTGAACCCAGGAGGTGGAGGTTGTGGTAAGCCAAAATCACACCATTGCACTCCAGCCTGGGCAAAAAGAGTGAAACTCCATCTCAAAAAATAAGAAGCCGGGCGCACGATGACACACGCCTGTAATCCCAGCACTTTGGGGGGCTGAGACAGGTGAATCACCAGGTCAAGAGATTGCAACCATGTGGCCAACATAGTGAAACCCCACCTCTACTAAAAATACAAAAATTAGCTGGATGTGGTGGCTTGTGCCTGTGGTTCCAGCTACTTAGGAGGCTGAGGCAGGAGAATCACATGAACCCAGGTCAAGATTGCAGTGAGCCAAGACTAAACCACTGTACTATAGCCTGGCGACAGAGCAAGACTTGTTAAAAAAAAAAAAAAAAAAAGTATGGATATATACAGATCCTTTGTCAAATTTATGTCTTTCATTGTATGTTCTCACAAGCATGTGTTTGTCGGGGTACAGTGGTGCATATCTCTCATCCCCGCCACTTGGGAGACTGAGTTCTAATTCAGCTTGAGCAACAGTGAGACCCTGTCTTTTTTTAAAAAAAGATAAAGTATCATTGAAACAGCGTAAGTTATTATAAAGTTTGGAGTTTATTTTACCAACCTTTTTTGTATGGTTTGTGCTTTTTCCTCCCCCTACATTTGCAAACTTTGAGGGTATGGATATTTTTTCCTATGTTTTTAAAGCAGTTATATAGTTTTTTAAATTCTTTCTTTTCTTTCTTTATGTTTTACATTTGGTTGTTGTTTTCTTTTGTTTTTGTTTTTTGTTTTTTTCTGAGATGGAGTCTCACTCTGTCGCCCAGGCTGGAGTGCAGTGGCACGATCTTGGCTCATTGCAACGTCTGCCTCCCGGGTTCAACCCATTCTTCTGCTTTAGCTTCCTGAGTTGCTGGGATTATAGACACGTGTCACCAGGCCTGGCTAATTGTTGTTGTTGTTGTTGTTGTTTTTTTGAGACCGAGTTTCGCTCTTGTTACCCAGGCTGGAGTGCAATAGCACGGTCTTGGCTCACGACAACCTCCGCCTCCCGGGTTCAGGCAATTCTCCTGCCTCAGCCTCCTGAGTAGCTGGGATTACAGGCACGTGCCACCATGCCCAGCTAATTTTTTTTGTATTTTTAGTAGAGACGGGGTTTCACCATGTTAACCAGGATGGTCTCGATCTCTCGACCTCGTGATCCACCCGCCTCGGCCTCCCAAAGTGCTGGGATTACAGGCGTGAGCCACCGCGCCCAGCAATTGTTGTATTTTTAATAGAGACAGAGTTTCACCATCTTGGCCAGACTAGTCTTGAACTCTGGACCTCGTGATCTACCACACTAGCCTCCCAAAGTGCTGGGATTACAGGTGTGAGGCACCATGCCCAGCTTTTCTGTTTTTTGTTTGTTTGTTTGTTTGTTTGTTTGTTTTTTAAGAGACAGGATCTTACTGTGTTGCTCAGGAACTATAGCTTACTGTAATGTCAAACTCCTTGACCTCAAACAGTCCTCCTGCCTTAGCCTCTTGTGTAACTAGGGCTACAAGCCTTCGCTATCACATCTAGTTTTGTTTTGTTTTTTCTCATAGATACAGAGTCTTACTATATTTCCCAGGCTGATCTCAAACTCCTGGACTCAAGCGATGCCACCATGTCCAGCCTACGATTTATAGTTTTTTCTTTTTTCATATAATAAGATTCATTTACTTTTTTCTTCTAGCATGTATATAACATTTAAAAAAAATTTTAATCTCTGATGTGTTTAGAATACTTAGTTTTGTTTTCTTTATTTTTTTTTGAGACAGAGTCTTGCTCTGTTGCCCAGGCTGGAGTGCAGTGGTGCAATCTTGGCTCACTGCAACCTCCACTTTCCCAGTTCAAGTGATTCTCCTGCCTCAGTCTCCTGAGTAGCTGGAATCACAGGCATTCGCAGTTATGCCTGGCTAATTTTAGAATTTATAAAATGTGAAGCCAAGGCCGGGCACGGTGGCTCAAGCCTGTAATCCCAGCACTTTGGGAGGCCGAGGCGGGTGGATCACGAGGTCAAGAGATCGAGGCCATCCTGGTCAACATGGTGAAACCCCGTCTCTACTAAAAATACAAAAAATTAGCTGGGCATGGTGGCACGTGCCTGTAATCCCAGCTACTCAGGAGGCTGAGGCAGGAGAATTGCCTGAACCTGGGAGGCGGAGGTTGCAGTGGGCCGAGATTGCTCCATTGCACTCCAGCCTGGGTAACGAGCAAAACTCCGTCTCAAAAAAAAAAAAAAAAAAAAAAAAAAGAGTGAATCTGGTTTATCTTGTTCTAAATGACTATCCAAAATGTTTTAACCAGTTTTATTAGTCTGTACCTTACATACAGTAAAATGCATACCTTTTTGTGTTTGCATTTTAATGAGTTTTGACAAATATATTTGTTCATGTAGTAAGTACTTGATTTACCAGTGAAGATGGAAAGCATTGTGCCTGTTCCTCTTCTCTGTCAAACTGCTTTGTTACCACTAGCTCCAGGTAACCAGTGATCTGCTCTGTTTTACTATAGATTAGATTTATCCTCTCTAGATTTCTTTTTAGTTTTGATTTAGGTATTTTTTTTTTATTGACTTAAAAAGGTTTAGGCCGGGCGCAGTGGCTCAAGCCTGTAATCCCAGCACTTTGGGAGGCCGAGGTGGGTGGATTACGAGGTCGAAAGATCGAGACCATCCTGGTCAACATGGTGAAACCCCGTCTCTACTAAAAATACAAAAAAACTAGCTGGGCGTGGTGGCGCATGCCTGTAATCCCAGCTACTTAGGAGGCTGAGGCAGGAGAATTGCTTGAACCCAGGAGGCGGAGGTTGCGGTGAGCCGAGATCGCGCCATTGCACTCCAGCCTGGGTAACAAGAGCGAAACTCCGTCTCAAAAAAAAAAAAAAAAAGTTTTTTGGAGACGTCTTCTCATTATATTGTCCAGGCTGGTCTTGAACTCCTGAGCTCAAGTGATCCTCCTGCCATAGCCTCACAGCATGCTTGGATTACAGATGTGAGCCACCTCAGCCAGCCCTTAGATTTTTTTTTTTTTTTTAAATAAATGGAATCATACAGTATATAACAGGGGTGTTTAATCTCTTCGCTTCCCTTAGCCATGTTGGAAGAATTGTCTTGTGCCACACATGAAATATATTAACACTAATGATAGCTAATTAGCAAAAAAAAAAAAACCCTCGTAATTTTTTTTTTTTTTTTTTTTTTTTTTGAGATGGAGTTTCGCTCTTGTTACCCAGGCTGGAGTGCAATGGCGCAATCTCGGCTCACCACAACCTCCGCCTCCTGGGTTCAGGCAATTCTCCTGCCTCAGCCTCCTGAGTAGCTGGGATTACAGGCATGCACCACCATGCCCAGCTAATTTTTTGTATTCTTAGTGGAGACAGGGTTTCACCATGTTGACCAGGATGGTCTCGATCTCTTGACCTCATGATCCACCCGCCTAGGCCTCCCAAAGTGCTGGGATTACAGGCTTGAGCCACCACGCCTGGCCGAAACCTCATAATGTTTTAAGAAAGTTTGTGAATTTGTGGTGATCCACATTCAAAGCTGTCCCAGGCTGCAAATATATATATAGACAAGTTTGATACGTAATTTAGTGTATGTGTGTCCTAAACAGTGTAGTAATTTGAGTTTCATGTTAGTATCAGCTTATTTCTTTTTGTTTTTGAGATGGAGTCTCATTCCGTCTCCAGAATTGGTCTGCAGTTTTCCTGCCTCAGCCTCCCAAGTAGCTGGGATTACAGGCGCACACCACCACGCCCAGCTAATATATATATATATTTTTTAAAAAAGCAGAGGTAGGGTATCACCATGTTAGCCAGGCTAGTCTCAAACTCCTGATCTCAAATGATCTACCTGCCTTGACCTCCCAAAGTGCTGGGATTACAGGGGTGATGCACTGTGCCCGGCCAGCTTATTCCTTTTTATTGCTGGGTAGCATTTCATTTTATGATTATACCACAGTTAATTTACCCATTACTAGTCAATGGACATATGAGTTAATGCCAGCTTTTGGCTATTATGAATGAAGCTGCTGTGAGCATTTGTGTACAAGTGTTTGTGTTTTTATTTCTTTTAGTTAAATACCTAGAATTGGAATTGCTGAGGTATGGTAAGTGCATATTTCTTTTTTTAAAATTTATTTTTTTATTTATTATTGTTTTTGGAGATGAAGTCTCACTCTGTTGCCCAAGCTGGAGTGCAGTGGAGTGATTTCAGCTCATGGCAACCTCCCCCTCCTGGGTTCAAGCAGTTCTTCCGCCTCAGCCTCCCAAGTAGCTGGGAGTACAGCCACGCACCACCACGTCTGGCTAATTTTTTTGTATTTTTAGTAGAGACGAGGTTTCACCATGTTGGCCAGGCAGGTCTTGAACTCCTGACTGCAAGTGATCCACCTGCCTCAGCTTCCCAAAGTATTGGGATTACAGGTGTCAGCCACCACACCCAGCCTGGTAGATATATATTTCAATTAATAAGAAGCTGGCAAACTTTTCCACAGTGATTGTGTTATTTTACATTCTAACCGATCACCTACATATTCAAGTTCCAAGTATTCTACATGCATGCCAACACTTGGTAATGTCTTATCTTTTTAATTTCAGCAGGTTCAATGGGTATCTTAGGTATTCATTGTGATCTTAAATTTTCATTTCCCTAATTATGACTGATCAGGAGCACCTTGTTGTGTCTGTTTGTTTTTGGATGTGAACCGTTTTTTAGTAAATTGTTCAAATTGTTCAAATCTGTTTTCTTTCTTTTTTTTAAATTACTATTATTTTGAGACAGAATCTCATTCTGTTCCCCAGGCTGTAGAGCAGTGGTGCAAGCTTGGCTCACTGCAACCTCCGCCTCCCAGTTTCAAGCGATTATCCTGCATCAGCCTCCCAAGTAGCTAGGATTACAGGCGTGCACCACCACGCCTGGCTAATTTTCTATTTTTAGGAGAGACAGGGTTTCCCCATGTTGGTCAGGCTGGTCTCGAACTCCTGACCTCAGGTGATCTATCCGCCTCAACCTCTGAAAGTGCCGGGATTACTGGCATGAGCCACCACGCCTGGCCCTTTTTTCATTTTAAATACATGTTTCTGCTTGGTTGCAGTGGCTCATGCCTGTAATTCTAGCACTTTGGGAGGCCAACGTGGATGGATCATTTGAGCCAAGAGTTTGAGGCTAGCCTGGGGAACATGACAAAACCCTGTCTCTGCAAAAAACAGGAACATTTGCCAGGCAGGGTAGCACATTCCTGTGGTCCCAGCTACTTGGGGGGCTGATGTGGGAGAATCACTAGAGTGAGGTTGGTGGTGCTTGAGGGGCAATAGAGGGGATATTGAAGCTGCAGTGAGTGGAGATTTCACCACTGCACTCCAGCCTGGGCAATAGAGCCAGACCTTGTCGTCCCCCCCACCAAAAAAAATCTTGTTTCTTTTCTTACTGTGAAAAGTAGTAAAGTTGTAGTAAATTATTTTAAGTTATTTATATATTCTGGTTACAAGTCCTTTCTCAGATAGAGGTATTGTGAATATTTTCTCCCAGTCTGTGATCCTTTTGAATAGGATATGATGTAAAGGTTGGGCTTCATTTTTCCCTTATAAATGTTTATTTGGTTTCTCTGGCACCAGCCTCTGTTTTCCCTATATAATGATCTTGGTGGCTTTGTCTTTTTTCTTTTTGAGACAAGAATCTCGATTTTGTCACCCATGCTGGAGTGCCATATTGTTATCTCAGCTCACCTTTTTTTTTAAAGTAGAGATGGAGTTTCATCATGTTGGCCAGGCTGGTCTCCTACTTCTGACCTGAGGTGATCTGCCCATCTCAGCCTCCCAAAGTGCTAGGATTACAGGTGTGAGCCACTGCACCCAGCCATAGTAGCTTTGTTGAATTCAGTTGACTGTATATATGTATATGTGTCGTCTATTTGTAAACTGTTTTGTTGTATTCTTTGTGTATATCCTATGCCAATTCTCTCTTTATTGCTGTTACTTTGTAATCAATCTTAAAGTCAGTTCATATAAGTCTCTCATTTTATTCTCTTCAAAATTGTTCTTACTCTGCATTCTTTGACTTTCCAGATAAATTTTAGAATCAGCTTGGGATTGTGCACTGAATCTTTATATCAGTTCTGGGGGAAATATCTTAACAATATGGAATCTTCATTGATGTCATCATATACTGCTTCATTTATTTTTATTTTTATTTTTGGAGATGGAGTTTCACTCTTGTTGTTCAGACTAGAGTGTAATGGCTCACCGCAACCTCCATCTCTCTAGTTCAAGCAATTCTGCTACCTCATTCTGCTGAGTAGCCGAGATTATAGGCATGCACCACCACACCTGGCTAATTTTTCATGTTTTTAGTAGAGATGGGATTTTTCCACGTTGGTTGGGCTGTTCTTAAACTCCTGACTTTAGGTGATCTGCCCACCTAGGTCTGACAAAGTGCTGGAATTACAGGTGTGAGCCACTGCGCCCAGCCTGCTCCATTTAAGTCTTCAGTTTCACCAGTGTTTTCTAGTTTTCTTTGTTACCAATTTGTGCCTACTTTGTTAAATTTATTTCTTAATATTTCATCTGTTTTATGCTGTTGTGAGTGATATTTTTAAAAATTTCAACATTTGTTTATTAATAGATAGAGATGCACTTGAGTTTTGAATATTGACCTTGTGTCTTGACCTGTTGGTAAACTTACTGTTTCTGGCAGCCCTTAAAGAATTTTCAGACATATACAGTCATGATCTAATCACCATGTTGGTCTTTTTGTTTTTGCCTTATTGTACTGGTGCATTACTGAATAAAAGTAATGAGATTTTGCCATGCCCCTATTCTAATAGGTGAGACATTGTCTTTCACTATTAAGCCGAGTTAGGTGTTACTTTAGTTCCTAATTTGCAGAGAGGTGGGTTTGTTTTCTTTTTAATCATCAATGGTTGTTGGATTATGTTCAAATACTTTTTCGTGATCTATTAAGTATATCATATTGACCAGATACAGTGACTCATACCTGTACCTCAGAGCTTTGGGAGGCTAAGGCAGGAGGATCACTTGAGGCCAGGAGTTCAAGACCAACCTTGATGATATAGGAAAACCCCGTATCTACAAAATAATTTACAATTTTGCTGGGTGTGGTGGCACACTCCTGTAGTCCTAGCTACTTGAGAGGCTGAGGAAGAAGGATTGCTTGAGCCCAGTAGTTTAAAGGTGTAGTGAGCTATGATTGCACCACTGTATTTCAGCCTGGGTGACAGAAGAAGACCCTGTATTTAATGTGTGTGTGTGTGTCTGTGTGTCTGTGTGTGTGTGTGTGTGTGTCTGTGTTGTTATTTTGAAGGATTGCATTGATTGATTTTTGAATGTTGAATCAGCTCTGTATTCCTGGGACCCTACTTAATTATGGGATAGTATCCTTTTTATGTATTTCTGAGTTTGATTTAATATTAAGGAGACTTCTGTCTATATTCATTGTGGATAGACACCGGTCTGTAATTTTCTTTGCTTTGTAATGTTTTCCATATGGTTTTGGTATCAAGTTAATGCTGGTCATTTTATCTTACTTACCTTAGTGGCATAGAGTTCGTAATACACCCTTATCATTTTATTGTATGCAGGGTCTATGATGTTCTATATTCATTTCTAGTATTGTTAATTTGTGTCTTCTTCCCTATTTTCCGCCTTGTTAAAAACTTAATTATTGTTCTTTTTGAAAGGCCAGATTCTGGTTTCATTGATTTTTCTATATTACTTTACTTTTTCCCTTTTAGTGAGGGAATTTTACTCTTTATTATTTCCTTTCTTGGGATTTAATTTACCCTTCTTTTTCTAATTTCTTGCAGTGGCTGCTTAGGTTATAGATTTAAAAACTTTCTTTTCAAGTAGAAGCATTTAAAGCTACATATTTATAATTGTTTTAACTGTATTCCACAAACTGGAGATATTTTAATTTTTATTCAGTTCAGAATATCTTCTATCTTACGATTTCTTCTTTGATCAATGGGTTATTTAGAAGTTTGTTGATTTCCAAATACTTGAGTTATTGCCAAATGTATTTATTTTTTATTTTATTTATTTATTTATTTTACATTTTTTTTAATAGAGAGGAGGTTTCTCCATGTTGGTCACGCTGGTCTCAAACTCCTGACCTCAGGTGATCCGCCTGCCTCAGGCCTCCCAAAGTGCTGGGATTACAGGTGTGAGCCACTGCGCCTGGCTATTTTTTATTTTTAATGTAATTCCATTATGGTCAGAGAACAAACTAGTATGAAATGCCATTTAATCATATGCCAAGTGTCCATTTGTGGTTGAATCTTTCTAGATTTTTCACTCTGCTCCTCTAATCTGGTAATCGGACTCCCTTCTCATACACTCACTGCCACTGTTGATTTTTTTTTTTTTTTTCAGATAATCTTGAATTTTCTGTTTATGTTTTCATATGAACTCTGTAATTTACTTACTACTAAAAAATCAGTTGGCTTTTAAAAACCCACTGATCTTTAAAATATATCTTGACTGGCCCTGGTGGTAGGCACCTGTAATCCCAGCTACTTGGGAGACTAAGGCAGAAGAATTGCTTGAACCTGGGAGGTAGAAGTTGTAGTTGAGCCGAGATCGTGCCCCTGCACCCCAGCCTGGGCACAAGACTCCCTCTCAAAAAAATAAATAAAAAATATATAATCTTTTTATAATTAATTTGTTTCAATTAGGGTCCAAATCAGGCTTCCAAATTGGATTTGCTTATACGTCAAAGTCATTTTTTTTTTTTTTTTTTTTTTTTTGAGACGGAGTTTCGCTCTTGTTACCCAGGCTGGAGTGCAATGGCGCGATCTCGGCTCACCGCAACCTCCGCCTCCTGGGCTCAGGCAATTCTCCTGCCTCAGCCTCCTAAGTAGCTGGGATTACAGGCACGCGCCACCATGCGCAGCTAGTTTTTTTGTATTTTTTTAGTAGAGACGGGGTTTCACTATGTTGACCAGGATGGTCTCAATCTTTCGACCTCGTGATCCACCCGCCTCGGCCTCCCAAAGTGCTGGGATTACAGGCTTGAGCCACCGCGCCCGGCCGTCAAAGTCATTTTTTAAAATTGTTTCATATTGTGGTAGTTGTTTTGTTTTGTTCTGTTTTG